GCTGTGAATTTGGACAGGCCTAGCCTTCATGAACTCCCTCCGCGAACGTTCAGTCGCCTAGCAACCGTGGAACCGCTGGGCAGAAGGAACTTTAAACGATGGAGCTCGACGTTTTATTTAGCTTTTTAACCCCCAGAGACCCAAATTTAGAAAACAACTGCAAAATCTTTTTTTAACCTTTCACATGTTGTTCTAGGCCAGATAAACGGGCCTATTTACACATTTTAACAGCCAATAGTGTTGCAGAACTGAACAATGGGACCTATTAGCAATGTAAATGTAGTTTTAAAAAGAAAAAAATGGGGAAGGTTTACTCTTGTAGACTTAAATCTGATGTTGTAATGTTACAACCGTGGGTCTCTGGGGGTTAATCATTTCCTTGACTGTTGGAGAACTAATTCAGAGAAAATACTTTAGACAAGCTGAGCCTGAGCAAAGATGTGATAATAGTTTTTAATACTTTCTAAGGGTCTTAATTTGACCAAAACCGATTTTTCACCTTTTAAGACTTTTCAAGACCCAGCGGATACCCTGTAATATTGAACAATTCTCATTTGTAAACAAAAATAAAATTCAAGAGTTTAATGCAGAACTGATTTTATTTAGATATTTCTTTTATATGTACATGTTTAATCTTTATTAACCATTTTTTTCTAGCAAAGTAAAAAGCTGTCAAAGTTCTTCCTTCTCTCCTGTGCTCTCTGCTGCTCTGCCTCCCTCTGCAGCCTCATGTCCTCCCTGATCAGCTCCAGAAGCTGGTCATCGCTGGCACCTTCCCCTGGATGCCCATTTTCTCCAGAATAGTCTTAACAAACATGTAAGAAAAGAAACAGGAAGAGAAAAGAGGACAACGGGTTATTCCTTTCATGTTTTCGCAGAAAAAATAAACTCAAACGAGTTTTTAAAATATGAGATGTTATTGTACCTCCATGCCACAGCCGCCGAATACTTTGCTCCGGTGATCGTGTGGTCCATCTTCGCCCTAAGCTTAATAAATTCCCTGGTTTTCTCTTTTGTTCCTAAAATACAAACTCCTATTAAAATCAGGGGGAAAACGTAGCGGGAGAAGTACGACACCGAGCGCGGCCGAACATACGAGCCGAGACCGCAATACAAGCACTTTTACTGTTACATTTCTAACTAAAATAACGTTCATGTATCACAAAAAGTCCTTAACCTAACAGTTTTCAAGTTTATACTGACATTTATATGCGCAATCCTCTCCAACAGCTCCCGCTTCACTGTCCGCCATTGTTTTTAAGTTTTTCTGCTGGCCGGCCCGCAAGGCATCTTGGGAAATGCTACCTATTGAAGGATACACCCGACCCATCCTTCATTCAGGCGAAAAGAAGGCCGCATTCGTCGACCGCATTTGAAGGAGTCTTCAAATTGGGACAGGCCTAGTCGCGGCACTGTGACGTAACCGGCCGACGAATCCGGCCGACGTAGGATGCAGACCCTGAATTGAGACACAGCCAATGTTTAATCTGAAGCTACATATTCAGCATATTCAGGGCAGAGTATTGTTCCTGTTAGTGTTTAGTGTGAGATAATGGTAAATATTCCATTTCTCCAACAACTTTACCTGATAGTAAGCTAACTTTAGGCAAACCAGCAGCACAACAAATATTTTCAAATAAGACTCACAAACCTGAGTCAACACCAGTCTCATCAGAGCTGGGTTCTGTCGTTGTACTTTTGGTCTAAAAAACGTCCTTATGTCCATCTTCACTCATGCGTTTCAGACAGAGATTGTAGAAGAAACCAGCTGCTGAAGGGCTTCTCTTCAGTGGTGGAGGCTCAGGCAGGCTGTATACCGACTGAGTGGCCTAGTGGTAGAGTGTCCGCCGGGAGATCAGGGGTTCGACTCCTGGTCGGGTCGTACCAAAGACTTTGAGAAAAATAGGACCCAATGCCTCCCTGCTTGACACTCAGCATTAAGGGGTTGGATTTGGGGGTTATACCACCAAATAGTTCCCGAGCTATTTTGACCCAGGGGATGGGTCAAATGCGGAGAATAAATTTGTGTGTGTGTGACGACTAAATGGGACGTTACAAACTACTGCCAGCTGCGCTCTCTCTGTTGGACTTTGGTACTGCATGTTACTTCCGCGATTTAGATCCGGGGCTTATCATGAAAGATCCGGGGCTTCAGCCCAAGTAGCCGGGCCTAACGCCGCCCCTGGGGGTGATAGCTCTTTTTCAGTGGCAGCTCTGGAAAAAACTCCCCACAGACCTGCATCTAACTTCGGATATGTCCCCTTTAAAAAAACTAATTCAAAACTTAACTTTTCTAATGGGATTTTTACTAATAGGGACTTCAGGGCAGCCCTCTCATCTAGCTTTCTGTTATCTGTGCCTTTTTGATAAAGTATGAGTTTTTTATCTTTTATTTATTTATTAATTTATACTTTAGTTTTCCAGCAAGGCCCCGTTGAGAAAAACAAATGTTTTTTCAAGGAATCCTGGCCAAGAGGCAGCAAAAGTTACAGTTACAAATATTTTCAGTTACACAGACATGTACAAAATTACAGAAAGCAGTTACAACACAAGGAATCTGTCTCAATGGCTCTCAGTCTGGTTTAAAAGATATTCAATGAGACAGACTCAGTTCTTTTCCAGATTTCCTGCAGCCTGTTCCATGCAGAAAGAGCAGATTCTTGCTGTTTTGTCATTTTTATCTTTTTATCTTAATGTTTAAGCTATAATTTTACTGTCATCTTACATTGTTTTTTTTCTTGTGATTTTTTTTGTACGTAAACCACTTTGGTCACCTTCCAGGGTTCAGGAAAGTGCTTATGAATAACACTGATTGATTGAAAAATTCACACAAGACAATTTTAAAATAGTAATACATAATGACACCAGACTGAAACGATTTCTGCAAAGAACTCTACTAACCTCACAGCACCCTCACCCCAATAAAACCAGACTAAAGTGCACCATGTGGTAACATAAAGTCAGCCCAGAGGAGGAACAGTTTTATGATGTTCTCTTTCACATATGTGTGAACATAAAGGGTATGAAACCATTTGGCATGTTAAATGTGAACTTAGTAGGACTGACATGTTGCTTTTGTTCCATCGATTTCTGGAAAGTAAGATAGTGATGAAAGTAACCCTAACCCTTAGCAGAAAGGGCTAAGTGCTCACTTACAATTGTATTAAGCTTTAAAGGTGTGGACACTAATTTACTAAATACATTTGCAGTGGTCTCTAGTCTTGCATGCCTTGTGAGTCGTACTCCGGGGAAAAAAACCCTGGTGCATCTTTTTCAGGAACTAGAAGTTAGCCACATCTGAGGAGAGCTTCAGACTGCAGGATTTGGAGTCTTATTTCCTGATATATTGGGACATCTCACCTCTCACTGGTTAACAGCAATGCAACACTATCACTGACTCAGTTTACTTTGCAACACTGATGTTTTATTTCCACAAATAACAAAAGCCTGCAGTGTGATGGAGTTACTAATGCTAATCAATGTTAAGTGACAGTGTGACGTAGATCTGTCAGGCTGTTCTAATCCTAGAGTTTCACCATCTGTTTTCTATCAGAAGCTAATGCAAGAGATAGGTGTAGGAGACCATTTTCATGTCCAGCCTGCATGAAAAACTCATATAAAACCATCCTCCAGCTTTCAGTAGGATTTGTTTCAAAGGCAAAGTTGATGTCATTTCATGTCTTATGATCACTTGTTGATGTTTGAAATCAGAGGGACAATACACAAGGGAAATAGTTACTACCTTTCCCATGGAGTCTAAATATTTGTTTGCTGATGAAGCTGCAGTAGTCCCCGAATTCCCATCAGAAAGATTCCAGTTCCCATTGATGCCCTGCTCTGGCTCACTGTGTCCAGCGTGAGAACTATGTTTGTAACCCTGGACCTCCATGGCTGAATCTTTTATTAGGAGCTCATCTAGAAACACTCACAAGTCAGAAAGCAGCCCTACAAAATACAGTTTCAGAAAGCAACTATAAACAGCAAATTTACCCTAATAAACTTGGGAAGTGGTCATATTTTATCAGACAACTTAAAACTAGAATGATATGTCACTTTTATACTTGCAGGATTAAATATGAATTCACAAGGTCCTTTGTTCTTTTTTCAGGCAGCTGAGAGGGCTTGAAAAGATCTGGAAGTCCTTCGGCGGGTGAGGCCTCTTTTTGGCGTCCCTAATATCTTATATCAGTGAAGCATGGCACTCAACCTCATGGCTTGACCGCTGCATCTGTTCAAAAGATGCCCATGAGTCAATAAGTGACATCAACATAAACTCAGAACTTACTGTCTCTGTTCACATTCCCTTCTGCGTATCGATAAATGTAGGTCATTTACCAGCCCTTTTGCCTATAATAAATTACTCTCAAGATGGGAAAATAAATTGGGACAGTTTAACTGAGCAGAATCTCCATAAGTATGGTAGCCGGTCGGATGTCCTTCTAGGTAATCTTAAACTCCCTAAGGGTGCAATAACATGTGGGGACATGAACTGTAGAAATGTGCAGCATGGTAGAGAGCTGTGCCTCCTCTATGAGGCAATTGTAGACTCTCTGGTTACCTTGAGTGGGCCACTTCGTAAAAATAGTTATGGCATAAGCATTATTATGATTTGTTTAATTGTGTCAAGAGTGATCCCCCTGAAATTGATAAGGTAGAGAACAACAAGGATGTATCTATTAACAGTCCAAGAAGTCCATGACATTGTGATGAAGCTGAAGGATAATAAGTCATGGGGGCATGATAAGATATCAGCTGAATATTTAAAGTTTGTGAGCAGGAAACTTTACCCACTGTTGGCCATTTGTTTTACAGGGTTTTTAATTCACGGAGATGAAAATCAGAAAGAGTCACTGACCTCTGTCTTTCTGTCTCTTGAGGTTTCAGCATTACAAGCACTATCATCTTATGTTTATGTCAGCACCAAACCAGTTTTGCCTTTTCTTCTTCTTCATCTTACCCAACACCTTCTGCAACCTGATTCTACACATGTTCAGACTCACCATTCCCAAGCATGTGGACAGAGCCACCGCGGAGTTGACCTTTGACCTCAGCGACCCCTGGTAAAAGCAGTGGTCGTCTCGGTGGTAGACCCTGAGGCTTTTGGTGCTGTTTTTTCCCAGGACCTGGATAGTAAAGCCAGGTGCAATCAGGCTTTCCGACGCCTCTCTCAGCTCCATGTGGAAGTCCTGCCCCAAGCCTCTTAGTTTGAAATGGACTGTTTCGCTGACACTGCTGGTCTTTGATGAGCTGGCATCCAGAGTCATGGATCTACGATGTCTTCTGAGCTTGTGGTGCACAATTTCATGAGAGACATATTCACCTTGTTGGTTGACCTCATATGGAGTTACAATTTCATATTCTGGGAAGAAAATAAAGGACAATAAAAAAGGGGTATAAAGATTTTTTTTTACGTGGAAAGACTTTTAGAGAGCAGCCAGGGCAACCACACAAAGATTAACTAAAATTTTACACACATTCCAAAATAAAAAGGAAAGGACATTTAAAGTTCTCAGACAAGGTAATAAGCTTGGCTCCATTAAAAAGTAAAAAGGAACGACACTGAGACAGGCTGGGTCAAGGCACGTGGTTGTATGCCTCTAGCATGTTCAAAACTCAGCAACTAGGCATTAACTGTTGGGAACGTGTTGCCCCGGTGCTGGTAAGGCTCCACTGGCTTCCGGTGCAGTATAGAGCCAAGTTTAAAGTCCTCATGCTTGCACTGACCCCCAAATTCCACTACCTCCGCTCCGCTCCGGTCCGCCCCCGCCCTCCGCAGCCGCTCGCTTCCGAACTCAATTTTTACTGCTACCCGCTCTACAACGGCTCCGCTCTGGTGCGGAGACCTGAGGTGGGCAAATAAGCATGCGCAGGATTTTCGAGATCTTGCGATACAGTCCGAGCAATAAACGCGGAAGTTAGATCCAAACACCCGTTGTGTGGGAGAAGCATCGGCATGAGCTGTTTAATCTGCCCATCATTTGTGTTGAGAGATCAGCAGTGTTTGGATCAACAAAGTATGACTACTTTGATAGTGGAAACTGTATTTATGGCTTACTTTTGTGCATTTAAACTTCAGCCGCCATTGATAGTTGTTAAAAGTTGTTAAACCTGTGCATATGAAACAAAAAACGCCTTTTGTTTATCGATGTAATGTGAAAAACGCAAGTGGTGCTCGCTCCTTTTCCTGTTGGGCGTTTGTGATTTCTGTCCATTGACTGCGGAGGTGCTCCGGCGTCCGGCAAAAATAGGATCGATTCTATTTTTGCCGGACGCTGGAACAGAGGACGGCGCACGGCGCTGCACTGCCGGAGCATGGCCGGAGCACGGCCGCAGTAGTGGAATTGCTCTGATTGACTAGAACGGGACCGATTTTGCTCCGGAGTTCTTGTCGGAGCGGAGCGCAGCGGAGGTAGTGGAATTTGGGGGTTACCCTTTAATTCCACTACCTCCGCTCCAGTCCGCCCCCACCCTCCGCAGCCGCTCGCTTCCAAACTCAATTTTTACTGGTACCCGCTCTACAACGGCTCCGCTCCGGTGCGGAGACCTGAGGTGGGCAAACAAGCATGCGCGGGATTTTCGAGATCTTGCGATACAGTCCGAGCAATAAACGCGGAAGTTAGATCCAAACACCCGTTGTGTGGGAGAAGCATCGGCATGAACTGTTTAATCTGCCCATCATTTGTGTTGAGAGATCAGCAGTGTTTGGATCAACAAAGTGTGACTACTTTGATAGTAGAAACTGTATTTATGGCTTACTTTTGTGCATTTAAAGTTCAGCCGCCATTGATAGTTGTTAAAAGTTGTTAAACCTGTGCATATGAAACAAAAAACGCCTTTTGTTTATCGATTTATTGTGAAAAACGGAAGTTGTGCTTGCTCCTTTTCCTGTTGGGCGGTTGTGATTTCTGCCCATTTACTGCGGAGGTGCTCCGGCGTCCGGCGAAAATAGCATTGATTCTATTTTTGCTGGACGCCGGAACAGAGGGCGGCGCACGGCGCCGCACTGCCGGAGCACGGCCGCAGTAGTGGAATTGCTCTGATTGACTACAACGGGACCGATTTTGCTCTGGAGTTCGTGTCCGAGTGGAGCGGAGGTAGTGGAATTTGGGGGTAGGGGCCCTTCATGACACCAGCTTATCTCTTGGCACTGCTCCACGAGCATGTCACCATCCACACTCTTTGCTCTGCTGAGTGAGAATTGTTGGTCGCCTCTTGCTCTAGGTGCAGATCGAGGGGAGATCGCACATTTGCAATTTTGGCTCCTACGCTTTGGAATGAGTTGCCTCTGACTGTTAAGCCTAGTTTATGCTTCAGCTCCACGTGAAAGAGATGTACACGCAATGACAGAGACGTTTTCTGTCACAGAAGCATTAAGCAGACATCTCCCCTCCAGATTTTTAAATCCTGCGTGAAGACCCATTACTATGTTCAGCACTGGAAATTGCAACATGAACTGTTTTCCTTTTGAATTCTCTTTCATTGTTTTCATTTTTTAGTTGTTTTTATTATTGTTAGTTACTGTGCCCACTATGGTTGTGTTCAGCACCTTGGGCTTCTGCTAAAATTGTGGAAGGTGTATAAATGAAAAGTGAAACTTTATAAAATCAATGCTGTAAATAACGTGTAATTCACAGCATCATATAGAAAGTTATTGTCAGTATCTCTCCAATAATTCTAAGGTTTAAAACAATATTGGTAAAGTGAGGGTCAGTATACCACAGAACCTTTAGTTGTTGCCAGAGAGTTCAACGTTTATGCTCTCATGTAAACTGAAGCATTTACAATAGCCTCACTAATAATGATGCTGGTTAGCCTAAAGTCATTGTTCAGATCTTTTGAAGTGGAGCTGTGGGAAAGTCAGTAATGTATATCCTCCAAGTTGTGGATAGCAGTTTAAAGCTGCAATGGCAATTTTTGAAAACAAATTAGCTTCAACATTTTTCATACCTCTTAACAACATTTTAAAATAGTATAGCTATAACGAGATAAAAAATCCACAGAAAAAATAATAAAGTGGTTCTCTCACATTTGCCTGAAAAAACCTCCACCATTGACACTTTTCCAGCCAAAGTAAATATTAGTCCATCCGGTTGTCAGTCTCTCCAAACCTCTGCACTTCCCTGGTTCCTCCATTCATCATACACTCATGTATTTACCAACAGAACACCACTGGTGTGAGTGGTTCACGGCTCAAGTCAGAGAAGGAGAAACAGCTAGCTGCTACCACTTCAACTTTAGGACAAACTACCAGAGTCCTACAAAGAAAAACACCATTTGAAGTCATGGACAAAATCAGATGTTTGCAACTATAAAACTGGTGTTTAGCACTCTTTCTTTTACTCTGGCATCCCATCTTTCAAATTCATCGTACCCTTGAGAAAGGCACTTCACCCTCCTTGTCTGCTGCTGGTGGTTGGAGGGACTGGTTGTATAGCAGCCCTGCTTCGGTCAGTGCACCCCAGGGCAGCTGTGGCTACAATGTAGCTCATTACCACCAGTGTGTGAATGTGTGTGTGTAAATGAGTAAATGACTGGTTTGCTTTAAAGTACCTTGGGGGGTTGTAGAACCTTAGAAGCTGCTATATAATTACAAACTATTTACCACATATGTATCACACTGTCATATATGTAGACATTGGTTTTTTGCTCTGGAAATTAGCTGCGGATCAAGGTATTGGTGGAACTTTTTTATAAGAATCTTGTAACATTTCTAGTGGAATGACAGAATTGCATAAAGAACAATACACTCATGCACTTGTCATTTCAATAAATCTGCTGTGGCCTCTAGTGTGATGAATGCTTTGTGAGTCATTTTCTGTGGACAAAAAACCCTGGTGCTCCAGTTTCTGGAAGTAGAAGTTAGTCAGAGGAGTCGGGGTAGAAAATGGCAGGATTTGGAGTCTTGCTAATTAATATTCATGATATGTGAATATTTTGACTTTGACTGGCTAACAGCAACACAACTCTTCCACTGCCTCTGTTTGCTATTCTTTCTTGGTTTAAAACAGCTACGTTGCTATCTACACAAATAACACAAGTCCAAACCTGTTCTGCCATGTTGTGGATGTGCTATTGCTAACGGTCAGCTTCGGCTAACTGAGACATGTTCAGCTTTTTCCTGACCGCTAAATCAAAAAGTCTTTGGCAGTCATGAGCCAATGTGGTTGAGTCTATGAATAGTTATATTTTTAGTGTGACACACATCTGTGTGGCTTTTTCTGACCGGAGCATTTGCCGTTTAGTTTGTATCGCGGCTAACGCAGGAAATTCCTGTAGAAGACAATCTTCATGTTCAGCAACGCATGTAAAACTCAGAGTGACTGATTTTATTTCCAAAAGGGAAAATATTATTTGTTTGTCTGTGAACCTTCACTTTAAGTAAATGGCATTTGCATGAACCACATGGAATTTTTTGAAACAGGAATTGGTTTATAACCCATTTTCGAACTGGAATCATTCTAACCATAGAGACCTAATCTGCCTGATCACAACTAGTCTTTACTTCTTCAAACTGAGTTAATAAATGATCAGACATAAGCTATTAATTGTTCATAAGCTTCCTACAGAATTCCACTTCAGAAGATCTGAACCGTTATTTTAGGGTCACGCTGATTTAAGCCCATCACTTTAAGTTTTTTAATGAATGGTGCAAGTGAAATATTCAGATATTTATTTAGGTCACTTGGCACGAACTGGACATCTTTTACTATAAACTGAGTTGATTGCTTCCTCTGCTGCAGCACACCCAAAATAAAGACAGTTTTCCTTTCCTTTGTGAAGAGTTTTTTTTTTTTACTTGACTCTTGCTGAAAGGGTCAAGACATAATTACAAGAAAAGGAAGGCTTTTAGATCATTCGACCGCAGGCCTGTCTGTGGAGAGTGAATTATGTTTGATTTAGTGTTTTACTACACTTTGAGCAGGAGAACTGCTGGTCTTAAAAGGAGACTTTGATGGGTCACTGGCCTGAGCCATCCATCCATTTAAACACATGATGGCTCTTCAGCAGGAAAAACTAACAATGCTTTCCTGAAAAAAACTATCAAAGAATGATGTTTCAGGAGAAAATATGACAGCAGACACTTTTCCTTTTCAATATGAGTAAAAATGTACTGATTTAGTACACAAGTTAAGAATAAAACTCCTGCTTTTTTTGACCCTACAGTTTTCAATCTATTATTGTGCATCTTGTATAAATTGTCCTAAGTGGTTGGACAAAGCTATCATTGTCTAAAATTAATTTAAGTCATGTTTTGTCATCAAGAAGGTCAAAGAAATAATAGACTTAACCAAAGGGTGAATAACAGCCAATTTAGGTTCATGCACTGTGACCTGCTTCAATAATGATAAATATAGCCCAGACACATGGTTGAGCTGTGAGAAAATCACACTGGATGGCAGACGGTGTGTCATCTCCGGCTGTGTGAATGCCTGGGGTTTGAACTCTGTCGCATAGTGCAAGTTGAGGCCGACGCAAAGCTCCTGCAGCCTGAAATATGTGCACGCTCATTAGCAGATGCACATATTTAAAGAAGCTTGTTTTACAGAGGCTGAGTGTATCTTAGGATGGATGGCCACAATGCAAAACTATCCTCCAGCTCTCAAAGCAATCAATCTCAGAGTTTGACTGCAAACAGACAAATGAGGACAGACAGGAAAGCATTTGGAAGACACCAAAAAAGAAGTCTTCTCTATATTTGCAAACGTGTCCTCCTCCCTCACTGTCCCATTCCTTCTCTTGACTGAAAAAACAGCTGCACTGACCCATGTCGGGCAATATACAAAGAGTCTGCAGGAGCAGATCACACACACACACGCACGCACACACACACACACACACACACACACACACACACACTCGCACGCACGCACGCACGCACACACGCACACACACACACGCACGCACGCACGCACACACGCGCACACACACACACACACACACACGCACGCACACATGCACGCACACACGCACACGCACACACACACACGAACTGATATGGCTCTCTACAGCTGTTAGTCTGTTGGTTTAGTGGCTCCTGGCTACCATTAGCACTGATAAAACACTGGAGTATCTGGCGCATAGTTAGCTTAAAAGTTTAAACAACAAATCCAAACACACAACTCTAACCTCTGTTCCAATCTTACAAACTAAGTCACCATTCTTCTAATTTTAGCAAAAAAAAAAAAAAAAAAGAAAGAAAGAAAACTGCAAAATCTGTTTCAGATCATTTGCACACATTTCCTGAAAATACTCTTTTGATAAATGATGCTTTTCATAGTAACAACATCAACAAAAACGGTCTGGAGCAGAATCTGCTGCCAAAGAAACTGCTGACTCAGCATTTGGATCCAAATTAAAGAACAAATGAGAGCCTTGGACTCTCCGAACTGCTTGCTTGCACTAATAATTGACTAAGCAGGCATCAGAGCACCATCACTGGAGACTGATCGTTCCTCGTTTCTGTAATAAAAATTAAATTCAGTATTCAAATACCAAGACTTTGCTAGTATTATTTATCACAATTTCTGTGGATTTCCCATCATTTTTCCGATCTACTTATCTTCCTCAAAAATGTTTTTAATTTAGTTTTTTTAAAGTGACAAATCACTGGCTCAGACACTAATTTGTGTTAGGTTGCGTGTCGCCCCCAAGTGGTGAAAAGAGGGGACGTGTGGAGCAGGTGAGCGCGGTTTGATGCTGCAGGGTGTTTCAGGGATGCTAGCCGCACATGAAAACCTTTATTTAGACACAAAAGAGCAAAACTGCTTCAAATAAGCCCACAATCCCACTGAAACAGCGCATCATACTTTCAAAAACTATAACATCAGCCTCTGAGTTATAGACGGAACCTACCTGTGTGTTGGGGTAAATTGAGTGAGTGGAGAAGAGCCGACGCGCCTTCACCGTTCAAAGGTGCGCTCTGGATGGGGAGAGAAGTCAACATTGTTATCACGAAACCTGATTTTTAATTGTTTTGCACCTTTTTAGCAATGCAGCAATTTAGAGTAACAACGCACTTACTTTGTTCTGCGTGACAAAGCAGAAAAGGTGGACCAAAACCAACGAGCGGGTCCAGTTTCTCCTCTCGGCAGGAGAAACGTGCAGGAAAGCCATGTCTGTCTGGGGATCACCTTTAACACCGCTGAAGCTCAAACCAGAAACAGACTTTGCAGAAGCTTGAGCGCTCAGCAGCACGTCCTCTTATCATCAACAACTTCAGATTCAAGCTTCTTCAGATCCACCACTTTGGTCCCCATTCGTGTCCAAAAAGTGCTTGAACTCCAGTCCTCTCTCCCGGCAGGTCATTTTCTTTCCTCCCCTCCACCCACCCCACTCAGAGAGCCGAGAAACAATCAACCCCCTCTCATCACACGCTCACTCTGCTCCTGCTGCTCTCTCTCCCTCTCTGTGTCTCTACCCAGTGACCCCCGCGGACCACTTGGACTCCCACTGAAATCATGTGATTATCTTAAATAGGCCGTGAGGTTCGTCTTGGCAAAAGCAGACTCAAGTCGAACTGAATCTTAGTTCTCAGAGGAGTCTGCAGTGGCTGTGTGTCAGGGGGCTGGAGAGCGAGTGAAGAGGGGGGGGGGGGGGGCGACCTCCAGAGCCAATCGCATTTGACACCTGCGTTTGGGCGAATCGATCCTCCTCTAAGCTCATACGCATGACAGAAAAAAGAGTAAAGAAGTGTGTGGAAAATGGTGAGAAATGATATTTTTGACTTATGGGACACCTGGTTCACACCTTCAACTTCAGCAGAATTTATGCCACTGTATCCCAAAGCCATGCACCTCAAGTTTTTATATTTTTATCTGTCTTCAGTGTCACCCGACATCCAACGACACTAAAATATTTTTCTGTGAGTTGGCCTCTAATCCACACAACACGAAAAGCAACTACTTCAAAAACCTCAGACTAAACTAGCAAAAATGTGCTAGATGTGCCTGTGGACATAAATAACGGGGAGAAAGGGTTTTGCACCATCACTGCCTCCCATAAAATGGCTCTGACATCACACAGATGTCCTGTGTTTACACTCGCTTGTTTTTCCAAGCTCAGTTACTGCTCCATGTGGAACACCACGGCAAAGGACGATGTTATTAACAGCTATTGCTCACCATGTGCAAGGAATGTTTTATGGCAAAGATGCCAAAAATTTGGGGAACTACTGCCACCTACAGGTGTGGCAGTCAATGAATGTGCTTCACAATTTATCAATTTATCATTATAATAATAATAATTATTATTATTATATTATCATTATAATTATAATAATAATAATAATAATAATAATAATTATTATTATTATTATTATTATTATTATTATTATTATTATTATTATTATTATTATATCATTATTATTATTATTATTATTATTATTATTATTAGTAGTAGTAGTAGTAGTAGTATCAATCCTAAGTATTTCACAAGCTTTGGGTAGTGACCGAAAGAACAAGATTGCAGATACAAGCGGACGAAATGAGTGTTCTCCGCAGGGTGGCTGGGCTCTCCCTTAAGCCTGAGTCATGCTTCTCTGTCAGCTACAAAAGGGAGAGACACGCACGCACGGACGGAAACGTTTTGCCCTCATACTTCAGTCTCCTGTCATGTATACGGTCCAAGATAGTGTGTTTATATTCTGTTTTTTGTATATAAGAGACTATTCCACACAGACAAATTTGCCTCCCATCCTCCTCCACCTCTTCATGCATTCGCCACCTCTAAACCCACGTTTCCTGTCATTTCCGTCCACAAATAAAATGCTTGCTGCGTATCTTTTCACTCCTCCAGTCACGGGTGGAATTAAACATTCACATTTTTAGAGGTTTTTCGCGAGGTATTCTTCAAGCTTCTCCATGTCTGCCGCTAGTTATCCTCGTCTCTCTTTATATTTTTGAGGGCGCAATGGTGGTGGTGGAGACGACAGTGGTGCCCTGACCAATCACAAGGTTGCGTTCTCCGTCTTGACGGACGGATGTTTAGAAAAGAGAGCTCGACTCCGTCCGTCCTTGCGGGGGCTCTCCAGCAGGCCCGCGAGGACGGATAATGGCGTTGCGTTTCTCCGCACTGACGCAGACGCAGAAGCATGACTCAGGCTTTAGAGAAAGGGTGAGTTGCTCGGTCATCCGGGAGGGGCTCGGAGTAGACCTGCTGCTCCCACATATTGAGAGGAGCCAGTTGACGTGGCTTGGGTATCTGGTTAGGATGCTTCCTGGATGCCTCCCTGGTGAGGTTCTCCAGGCACGTCCAACTGGGAGAAAGCTTAAAGGAAGACCCAGGACACACTGGAGAGACTTTGTCTCATGGCTGGTCAGGGAACGCCTTAAGATTCCTCTGGAGGTGCTGGTCCAAGTGGCTGGGGAGAGGGAAGTATGGGCCTCCCCGCTGAGGCTGCTGCCCCCATGACCCGATCCCAGATAAGCAGCTGAAAATGGATGGATGGATAGTAGTAGCAGCAGTAGTAGTAGTATTTCTGCTGTAAACAAGGCGGTGTGGACCCAAGCTTTGTCCAAAATGGGTGGAGGAGGATTTTTTGACAAAAACCTGCTACATGGCCTGAGTGAATGGTAGAAATTAAAGCTATTATGGCAAATCTGCAAACAAGCTCTTTTTTTAATGCAAACGTGGTCACGGTACACTCCACCCCACGGGACATCTTCCCTGAGACACTTTTGCCAAAACTGGGAACCTGCGAGGCTGGACAAAATGAGAGCGGTAAACACCTGTCGCCATTTTCTAGGTCGCAATATCTTTTGTTGTCCGTGACTTCAAATGGCGTTTTTCTTTTTGGGACTCTAGTTGTCCTAAAGATGAAGTGGTAGCGGCCGACAGTTTCTACTTCTCTGATATCATAGAGCAGAGAACCATTCACACCAGTGGTGTTCTGTTGCTAAACACGTGAGTGTGTAATGAGTGGAGGACCCAAGGAAGTGCAGCGGTTGGGCGAGACGACATTTGGATGGTCCAACAGTTGCTTTCGGTTTGAAATGAGTTATAGGTGGAGGTTAGACAAATGCAACAGAACTACTTCATATCTCCACAATTTGTATTTTAGGTTATTGTTAAGAGGCATGAAAAGATATGATTGAAGCTATATTTTTTTCCAAATTTGCCATTGCAGCTTTTATAGGTTACACTAATGATTCTACTGTACACACACTAACCAGGAGGAATTTTAAAGGTTCAAAAGAGATATGGGCGATGTGTTAATATTAGCTGGATGAGTGTTTCAACATGCTGATTGTTTACCAAAGCAGAAGAATCAGAATGGTCGTTTGGGTAAATTCTATAAAAATAAATAAATAAAAAAAAATTATGAGAATACAACCAGTTTTCTACTGTTTTCCTGATCACTTGCGTTCATGAAAGGACATGAGTACAGCTAAAGAAGAGCTGATTTAGCATCATCTCTAGGTTTTGTATGTTTATCAGACTTTAGTCTGATATTTAAATATCATTTATGTTAATTACAGCTGTGGTGATACTTGAAGATCACTAGCACTTGTTAGTATAAGACAACAGACACCATGTTCATATGCTGTAGCATGTTATAATCTGGTGCCACTTTGAAAAACTGCAATGTGGATAGGAATATTGCCATTTTGAAATGACTGATTAAATTAGAATTTGAGAAAATCACTATGAGACCTTCAACTGTATGCAGAAATGTTCAATAACACAGTGCGTGTGTCTAATGTAGATTCCCAGCCCCTTTTTTCTGTTTCACATCATAATTACTTTCTGTCAATTTTTTCAAACAAAGTACTGAAACCTGCTAGACACAGAAAAAAATAATTAATGGCATTTCAACCCTGTTTCAAATAAATGTTTCCACTTGAAGTTTGTGTAAAATTCACTCAGTCGTTAACTTTTCATAGTAATTTTCACTTAAATTAATGTTGGAATTAACAATAAAAATCATGTGGCTTTCTCACACCATCAACAGGGGAATATTTACATGTATCCTGTTTGTTTTCTTTACTAGGTCATAGGATGTCAAATATAAACACACAAGTGTGATTGCCGAAGGTTTCAGAGAGAGCATTTATTTATCCCTTTTAAAATGATTAACTCCAGTGCAAAAGAGTTTGAGTTTAAATGCACTTAAGTGGAACAGTTATCTTTATGATTTTGTTTATTTATCTTGCAGGTACTTTTATCCAAAGAAACTTGCAAGCTAACCATAGCATGCATGATTTTGACCTTTGGGAGGAAACCGAAGTACCTATGGAGAAAACCCACACATGAACATGCTAACTTAGTTGGGATTCAAACCTGCAACCCTCTTGTAAATATGTGTGTGTGTGTGTGTGTGTGTGTGTGTGCGTAACTTTTATAAAATGTTTTTAGAGCAATGCCATAAAGTGCCAGATAAGGCCGTAGGTGCCATTTGTATGTCAAAAGGCCTGGGATGATCAGCATAGAAAGGCGACTCTTGTGTGATTCTGTTCCCTCCGTATGCATGAGCACAATCTTCAAAATGAGCTTTGCACTAAAACTGACTCAGTCTGATAAAACAGGCCTTTCACCTTCATCTCTGTCACAAATAACCAGCGGAGGGCAGCGAATAAACCCCTTGTGTTTAGTTCAGTTAAACGTCATAATTTGAATATTGATCATAGAAAAGCTTCTGAGGATTTCTAAAATATTACCGGTGTGTTTAGGATAGTTTCTTGTGCACTTGGTTGCTCAGGTAGAAGATATCAGGCATTTCTCCAGCTTGTCCTATGATTTCTCCTGATGTCCCACTTCTGTCTGGCTCCTGGTCCATTTGTAATCCTGTGACCCTCAAGAATATCCTTGTTCTAGTACTAAAAATTAGGCCATCCGCCTGTCCAGTGGACATCCTGCCATCTAAGTTATTTGTGGCAGCCTTTGATGAAACTGCCATGATTATAGTTGATCTCACTCATTTTTCTTTGACATCTGGTGTGGTTCCAGTTTTTTGCAAACATGCTGTGATCACACCAATCCTAAAAAAAAAAAAGACACGTTTGGATCCATTTTTGCCCAAAAATTACAGGCCAATCTCAAAGCTCCCAATTATTACCAAGGTTTTGAAAAAATAAAAATAAAATAAATAAAACTGTAACAGATCAGCTGATTGAGTATGGGGAATTTTCCAGCATTGGATGAGTTTCAATCAGGATTTTGAAGAAACCTCTATGGAGACTGCTCTACTGAGGGTCTCTAGTGATGTCAGCATGGCAGCTGACTCTGATAGAGCCACAGCTCTGGTTGTATTAGATCTCTCCTCAGCGTTTGACATGGTTCATCGCAGTGTTATGATCAGACTGAGAGACTTAAGGATGTCTGGTTCTGGTTTAAAGTGGTTCTCAAATCGGATAGATGACTGGGGAAAGGCTTGCATGGACAGTGTTCTAATAAAAAAATTTGAAAGAAATCTCAAGACAAAAATACAGAACTTGATAGGCATCAACTTGTTTGAGCATGACATGTACAAAGTGGTAAATTGCCCAGTTGTTTGGCAAAAGGAAAATTAAAGTCAAAGTTGAACGTCAGGAACACTACGTCTTCATTGCTACA